CTTGTTGCTCGATTTTTTCTTGTTTTTCTTTGTTCTTCTAAACCAAAAATTTTGCTCTAATTTAAAAAATAGAAAAAATTTAATCAAGGCAATAAAGAGAACCAGAACTTAAAAATAACAAGAGGATTGAGAAAAAAGAAGATAAAAAAGGAACAAGAAAAAGATCAAGAAAAAAAGAAGAAGTTCAGGCAAGAAGAAGAGAAAAAGAAGAAAAAGAACAAGAAAAATATCAAGCAACATTAAAAGAATAAGAAAAACCGAAAGAACAAGAAGCACAGAAACATAAAAAAGCACAAGGAAATGAAAAATACAATAGGAACAAGAAAAATAAGAAGATTAAGAAGTATAAGAACAAAATCAAGCATTACAGAAAAAGAAAACAAATAAGAAAGGACAATCAGTCCAAAAAAAAAAGAAAATAAAGAAACAAAACAAGAACAAGAATGAGATTAAAAAGTACTACAAAGAAAGACACAAAGATAAAGAAAAACAAAGACAAAAAAAATAGAAAATCAAGAAACACAACAAGAACTAGAAAGAGATTAAGAAGTACTACAAAGAAAGAGACAAAAATCAAGAAAATTAAGAAACACAACAAGAATAAGATTAAGCAGTACTACAAAGAAAGAGACAAAAATAAAGAATATCAAGAAACACAACAAAAACAGGAAGAAGAAGATTAAGAAGTACGTCAAAGAAAAATGCAGAAATAAAGAAAAAAGAAAAGAAAATTAGAAACACAAGAAAAAGAAGGAGAAGATTAAGAAGAACAAGAAAGGAAGAGACAAAGATAAAGAAAAGAGGAAAGAAAATTAGAAACACAAAAGAAAAAGATACCCAAGAACCTAAAAACTAAATAGACCAGAAAAGAAAAAAGAATAGAAAGAAGATCAAGACACGCAACAAAAAGAAGAATAAATATAACAAGAACAAAAAAGGATTAAAATTTCATATAAGAATAGAAAGAAAATAAAACCTACAAAAAGAAGAACAAGAAGAACTTTTAAAGATCAAGAAGAACAGAAAGAAAGTCCGAAAACACAAGAAAATCCAGGAAAAAATTAAGAATTTTTACAAGAACAAGAAGCACTAAATGGTCAAAAAGAACGAAAAGAAGATCAAGAGACTTAATAAGAATGAAAACTACACAGAAAAAGTAAATCTTAATTTAAGAGCTGCCTTAAATTCAACACTGTCTGCTATAATGTTAAAGGATACGAAAAACGTGCGTAAATTCAACATTGACTGTCTTAAAAATGTTGCATCTTAATTTAAGGCAGCTTTCGTGCCTTAAAATAAGATTTTCTTTTTACTGTGTAAGGGGGACAACAGCATCAAGAAAGACAAAAAATTAGGGAAAGCAAAAAATCAAGAAAGACAACAAGAATTTTAAAATGAACTTAACGAAAAAGATTTAAAAAGAAAAGAAGTACACTTTAAATAATTATTTCAAAAAATAATTATTTTCAAAAGTGATAAAAATCTTCGCATAAATTCAATTATGTTTAAACATTTTTTTTAATTCTCATTGAAATTTCAATTATTCTTTATAAATAATAAAATTCTTCTCCGAAATTCAATTATTTTTAAAAAATTTAATAAAATTCTTGGCAAAATTTTATTTATTTTCAAAAATTTTTCTCATTTCAATTATTTATAATATCTAGTATTTTAATAAAATTTTCCTAAAGAATTCAATTATTTAAACAAAATATTTATAAAATTTTCACAGGAATCCAATTATTTATCAATTTTTTGTAAATTTCTTCCTATTAATTCAATTATTTTTAATTTTTAAATGAAGTTTCTCGAAGGAATTCAAATATATTCAGAAAATTGAAAAAAATAGTTCTAAGAAATTCAATTATTCCGAAAAAATTTAGGGTCATTTGGGGTAAATGTAAACAAGGGGTAAATGTAAACAGTAGATGTTTCAGCTAAATTTACAAATTTAAAAATAAGTACGACGTCAACATTTTTACCTCAGCTCACCTGCAAGATGTTCTGAGTATTGCCAATATTTTATTTTGACAATTAGCAATGCCATAGTGTAAGTTATTTTTTAATGCAAAAAAGATTGAAAATCAAAATTTTACTGTTTCAGTATTTTGTCTCGCATTTGCATAAAAATAAATTTAAAAATCAAACAAAAATATGTAATTCTTCCTTATTAATGCCCTAACAAAAATTGACTTTGATTTTTGATTTTTGGCAATTTAGTTAATAGATAATTAAGAATTTACATTTACCCTGAGAATTCGAAAACTCGGGGTAAATTTAAACTGAACTTGAACTACATTTTAAAAGAAAATAATTGAATAAATTTGCTTCTATTTTACAATTTCATTAATTTGGCAATGTAAATATTACATAGAAAAGGAAATTAGGTCCTCTTTGAAAAAAAAATTTGATAAAAAAAAAAAAATTTTTTTGAAAATTTGATCAATTTTTAAAAATTTTTTTAGGTTCATCCGCCATTTTGAAATTTTAAAATTTGACTTCAAATTCGTATTCAGCGACCTCAAAAACCCCCTAGTAGCCAGATTCAAGCAAATTTGATCAATTTTTAAAAATATTATTTTTAGGTTCATCCGCCATATTGGATACACCATTTTGAAATTTAAAAATTCGATTTTAGATTCTTATACAGCAAAATAAAAAAAACTTCTTTTTACCACGTTGAATGAAAATCTATTAAAATTTTTTCAAGTTATTCAAGTTTTTACATTACTAATTTTGTAATGGTTGATTGTTTATTTTATATGATACATTATCAGTCAACTGGTTGATTTACTATACATCTACGAAGAATTTTTTTTCAGTTTTTTCATCCCTTAAAACAGTAGTATACTTGAAATAACTTGTTTCTTAAACCTCGCTTAACTACAGTGGTGTTTACATTTACCCCGAATTTTAGGAAAATTTCAAAATCTCGGGGTAAATGTAAACAGTCAGTTTTAGGCGATTCAGGTGCATCAATATTTCTTTGTACCTCATAAAATTTTTCTAGGGAACACTAGCAACAAGTTCATGCAAAAGAAATCCGTCCGTTTTACCTTTTAACAAAAAAAACTCATGTTTTTCGTGAAAGATACATATTTCGTTTACATTTACCCCAATTGACCCTAAATAAACTTCTTTTAAAAATTCTATTATTTAAAAAAATAATAAAAAAATTTAAAAAAATGATTTACCAGATTTAGTTAATAAAATTGCAATTTTAATCAAATTTCCCTATACAATTCAATTATTTCCAATATAATTCTTCTTAAGAATTCAATTATTTTCACAAATAATACATTTTTTTATAAGAATTCAATTATTTAAAAAAAATTTGAATAAAATTCTTCACAAGAAATCAATTATTTTCATAAATAATAAAATTTTTCTCGAAAATTCAATTATTTAAAAAAATTTGAATAAAATTCTTCACAAGAAATTAATTATTTTCATAAATAATAATATTTTTCTCCGGAATTCAATTATTTTCACAAATAAAATTCTTTACAAGAATTCAATTATTTCAAAAATTTTAAATAAAATTTGTTGCAAGAATTCAATTATTTTTATAAATAACAAAACTTATCGCAGAATTTCAATTTTTTTTGTACAATTTTAAATAAAATGATAGAAAATTGCATTTATTCTTTAAATTTTTTTTTAAATTTGCCGAAAGAATTTGAATTATTTTTAAAAAGTTTTGATAAGATTCTTCTTTAAATTCAATTTTAAGAAATATTCAATTATTTAATAAATTATTTATTTTTGTATTTAAATAATTGAATTCACGGAAAATTTTCTAATAAAAATTGATTAAAAAATGAATTTCACTTAAAATTTTAAATTATAAATGAAAATTAAATGCATTTTTGCGTGAATATTTTTAGAAAGAATTGAATTTTAAAAATGGTTCAAATTAAAATCTTTGAAAATTCGAATTTATAGTCACAATATTCTGACGATATAAAATAATGATTTTATCACTCTGTCATCTCAAATTAATTATAAAACATGAAGAAATCGATCACTCCGAGTCGAAGACTCGGAGTAATCGATTTCTTTATGTTTTATAATATTATTCTGAAAATTTATTGAATTTCAGAAGGATTGAATTTGAAAATCTTAATTCCTATAGAAAACTAATAGGTAACGATTAAATATCTATTTAAAAAAGAAAGTTATTGATGTTTTTGAATAATTTTACTTTTGAAGAAATTTGTAAATAAATGTAATAACAACATTTTTTTTGAAAATCTAATAATTTTTCGAGTGAATCAGAATAATTTTCAGGGTCAGGGAAAAAGTCAAAATTTTTTCTGAAAATGAGGGAAAAGTGAGGAAAAAAGAAAATTAATTTTTTTGTGGCAACCCTGAAAATCTATGAACAAGAGCAGAAAAAAGATGCTAAATAGAAGAAAGAATATGAACAGAAACAAAACAACAAGAAATTGGAAGCAGAAAACTATTTTTCTTCAACTAAAATAAAAAATTCGACCAAAAATTCTTTTCCAATTGAATGAACTCATCCTCTAATTAAAAATAGTATCAAAACCAATTTCGACAAGTTCAGAAATAAGAAAGTGAAAACATGTCAACACATATAAACAGTATATTATAATGAAAATCGAAAATTCCTCGAAACAGAGTGACATTTCACTTGAATGTGAAAATGTTACGTCCATACAATATAGCATTCCTGTCGGAAAGTTTAATCAGCAAGGTCATCAGCAGCCTGCCGTCTTAGCACCCACACTCACACCTTTTCATTCCCTCCTTCACCTAAAAGTTAACGAATGTGATTCCAAAGGTGCCTTTCGGATGAAACCACCAGAATCAAAGAAAGTATCCTGGTTCGAAATGGTCACGTTACGTTCCTGAGGAGTCTTCATAGACAGTATATTCACTATATATATATACATATATACATTTATATATACATATATATATATAAAGTGGGGACCGTTCATGGGACGTTTGTGGAGGTGGCAATATAAGGCCCAGTGAATGGGGCGCCTCAGCCAGTCCTTTGAAAACGGTACCAAAAGTCTGAAGGTCCGTAATCCCTGACAAAAAAAAAAAATTTTTTTTCTTAAAATTGTTTTTTTCTTCCTTGAAATCGCGCAGGCGCAATCGCGCGCGATCGCCTCCTTTTAAATTCCCCCAGGAAGTAAATTTAAGTGTGATTTTCCCTTTCCACATTGCTTCCGTGCCGCGAAAGAGTGACCGTACTTTGAAAACGACGGGGTCGCCTTTAAAGGATAACAAATATCCCGTGAGATGCGGGTGAGGGTGAGGAATATGCCCAAGTTCACGTTGCTACTTCTTTTTGTAGCAGTCGCGTTCACCCTTGCCGGTGAGTAAATACTAAAAAACTAGTGTGCGCTGGTATAAAAAAAAAATTTTTTTTTTTCCTACCGAATGGAAAATGAATTCTATTTTCTCAAAAGAGAGAAATGAAAAAAGGCTGAAAAGCATTATAATCGAAAAATTAAAAATATTATTTAATATTTAAATATTTCATTAAATATTTAATTAAATATTATTTAATATTTAAATATCGCTTAATATTTAAAAAATAGTGCAAAGCTGGCAAGAAATATATTTCCACATACCTACGTAAAAAGATTTGTCAAATTTTGAAAAAATTTTTGAAAAAACAGTGGAAAAAATATTTTTTTATTAAACACTGAACGGTCTTACAAATAGAAAACGTCCTTTCGCCGATTGCAGAAAAAAGTAATTAGAATAGAGCGAAAATTAAAAAATAGAATAGTAAAAATGGGTAAATATTAGTAAAAATTGTTGCGAATAAAAATTATTTTACGCTTTTTTGATTTTTTCGGGCAAACATGAAAAACAAAGTTGAAACTGAAACGTGAAATTGAATCCGGTTCATAAAGTGTTGCAGGAGAAAAAATGTCAAACAGAACTTAGATAAATACAACTAAACGTGTTTTCGAAAAAAAAAAGTAAACTACTTTTTTTCGTTTTTCCGGGCAGAAACGAAAAAAAATTGAGACTTACATAGAAAGGTGAAATTTAATCCAGGTTGTAAAAAAATAGCCGAAGAATAGAAAACAAAAATTCATTAAGTAAAGGATTTTAAAAAAAAAATTTTTAATTTTTCCGGGCAAAACCGAAAAAAAGAAAACTGTAATTAAAACGTGAAACTTCATCCGGTTTGTAAAATAAAACAACAAAAATGTAAAGGATTCCAAAATTTGTTAAATACAAGTAAAAGTTTTTTTTCAAATAAAAATTGCCTCTAATTTTTTTCCGGGCAAACCCAAAAAGAAAACGGTTAGTCATATGGAAAAGTGAAATTCAATCCACTTTGTAAAATAATACGGAAAAAAATAGAAAACAAAAATTAAATACATTTTTTCGAAAAAAATTAAACTAGGTACTTTTTTTAGTTTTTCCGGGCAGAAACAAAAAAAAAGAATACTAATTAAATAGGCGAAATTTACAACGGGTTAAAAAATAAAATATAATAGAAAGAAAATACAAAAATGACGTAAATACTAGCAAACGTTTTTTTACGAATAAAAAAAAAGTCAAGAATTTTTGAAATTTTTCCGCGCAAAACCGAAAAGAAGATTGATATTGAAGCGCTAAATTTACATCCGGTTATAAAATTTAAAATTTTTACTAAAATCATACGAAATTTTCGAAACGTGGAAAAAATCTAAATATCAAATTTAAAACCCAAAAAATTAAAATTTGAGAGCAAAAAAGGGAAAATTAAAGAACTTTAATAACAAAAACTGAGAAAATTGTCAAAAGCCAGAAGTTAACTTTTGTAGAATCGTTTTTCAAAATTTTTCTTCAAATATCAGGATAAGATTGAAAAAATTTTGTAGAAAAAAAATTTTCCAATTCAACAAATGCAAAAAATAGTAAAAGTATAAAAAAATATATTTATAATATATAATTATTATAAAAACATTTGTTTATATAATTATATTATGTTTATAATATTTCATTTATAATTTTAATTTATTTTAAAGGACCTTAATTGGATAAATAATAATTTTGACTTTTCTGTGGCCGTTGGCCTTTGTGGCCACAAAAAAGTCAAAATTATATTTTTAATATTATATTTATAATATTACTTTTATAATATTATATTTATAATATTATAATTTATAATACTATATTTGTACACTGAGAAAAAATTTATTTGATTCAAAGTAAACGATTACTTGTCCATTATCAAATAAATATTTACATGTAAATCAAATAATTTTTATTTGAGTTAAATAAAATTTACTTGAATCAAATAAATTTTTTTCACTGTAATGCATATTTATAATATTATTTCGTATAAAATAATAAATAAAAAATAAATAATATCTCGAATAAAATAAAAAATATTTGGAAACTTTGTATCGTCAATCAAAAAGAAGTATTTGCTCCATTTTTCTGACACGATTATTAATTATTATTATTTTTTTTTTGTAACTTTAAATACAAGAGTGCGACGACAGTTGCATAAGAGATTAGAGGGTGAAAGTATAAAGAATCTGGTTGTGGTCCCGGATAGAGGATGACGTCATTCCGCCGGGCACCCGAAGACGGTGGGGACAACTTTCCCCGCTCGTCACTATACTGCAAGACGAAAAACAAAATTAAAGGGTTACGCGTGACTGGTATACCCGACCACCTCACATATATAAATATACACAAACATTCATGTTCTCTTAGCGAAATGAAACTGAGATGTAATTTTTAGGTTTGTGGAAAACTGGGACTGAAAAAAAACCACTCATTGGTGAAAGTAGATTGAAAATTTCTAACCGGGGAGGATTCATTTCTCTTAATTAATTAATTAATTAATTAATTACTCTTCTTGACTCGTTAATTACTTAAATTTCTTAATTTTCTTCAATATCTTCATCGAAATTTATTTATTTATTAAAACTAATGAATTTAATTCACTTAATTTTCTTCAAAAATTTTCATTGGAATTCTATATAAAGTTTTTAATTAATGACATTTTTTAGTGATTAGAATTTTAAATTTTCCATTGTTTTTAGACTTAAAAATTTCGATTTTTGGGTTTTAAAATTCAACTTTCAAAATTTAAAATTTTTATTTTTATTCAAGGCGTTTGTTTTCTTAGGAATTTTCATTCAAAAATATACTTATAACGAGCAAATGTTTTACTAAAATATTCAAGAAGTTGAACTCGATTCAAAATAGTACAAAAAATTTGGTCCAAATTTTCACTTGAGCAAAGAGAAAAAAATTCATGTGGAAGAAAAATTCTTCTCTAACATCGAATTAATAAACAAAATTCAGACGATTTTGTTTCAAAATAACATTTGTCACTTATTCTTAAATCAGAGACACAATTTTTAGAATGAAAATTCTATTCCTATTGAATAACAAAAATTGTATTCCTAATTTAAGAATAAAGAATTCTTATTTAGAAATAAAAGGGTCGGGATTATTTTTTTACAGTAAAAATTGTATTTGTAATTTAAGAATAAAGAATTCTTACTTAGAAATAAAAGGGTCCGAATTATTTTTTTACAGTAAAAATATATTTAGATTCAAAATAAATTCAGTAAAAAAACTTTTAAGTAAAAAATATTTTCATCCAGAAATATTTTATAATGGAAATATTTTAAAGTAAAAATATCCTGAAGTAAAAATATTTTTGAACTAAAAGTATTTTAGAGTGGAAATATTTTAAAGTTAAAATATTCTAAAGTAAAAATATTTTTAAGTAAAAATACTCTAAAGTAAAAATATTTTTGAGTAAAAATATATTAAAGTAAAAATTCTCTGAAGTAAAATTATTTTACACTAAAAATTTTTTTTAAGTAAAAATATTTCGCACTAAAAATATTTTAAAGTCAAAATACTGTAAAGTAAAAATATTTTAAACTAAAAATATTTGTCAGTGAAAATATTGGAAAATAAAAATATTTCGAAGTAAAAATATAGAATTTCTAAATTAAACTATAAACATAAAATTCCTAAAACAACAAAGGATTTCAAATTGAGACAAAAAAACGAATCAAAAGTGTTGCGAAGCAACATTTTGATTCGTTTTTTTGTCTCAATTTGAATATCTTTACAAAACCTGTGAAAATAAAAATGTAAAAATTCCGAAATAAATTTAAAGTACAATTTAAAGATTATTACTAAATAAAAACCCGAAAAGAATTTCCCTTATTTTTAATCAAAAACAAAAAAAAAAGAAAGAAGCAAAAAAACTAAAATCGCGACGAATCGTAAAACAATTTCAGAGGGAAAAATATTGAGTCGATGGAAGCGACAGGACGATAAGAAGGATAATGTGAAGGAGGAATTTTGTAAGGACAAGGACGCAGGTGAATGGTTCCGACTTCAGACAGGTGAGGGTGACAATTGCCGCGATGTTATTCAATGCACCAGTTCCGGAATTCAAGCTTTGAGGTGTCCCGCGGGATTATATTTTGACATCGACAAACAGACGTGCGATTGGAAGGATGCAGTGCATAATTGCAAATCAACGAACAAAGAGCGGAAGGCCAAGCCCCTTCTCTACACTGAGGAGCCACTTTGTCCGGAAGGTCAGCTCGCCTGTGGAAATCAGGATTGCATCGAGCGGGGACTATTCTGCAATGGCGAAAAGGATTGTACCGATGGATCCGATGAAAATATTTGCGGTGAGTAGCCGAAAAAAAGTGCAAAATGTGATTGAAAAAAAATATTATTCTTTTCTTGAATCATTAGTTCTGTGTTTTTTTTTTAAATAATTTGGAAAAAATATTAACAATCAATCAGATCGATGGTTCAATTATCGTTTGACCTTTCGTTAAGTAGCTTCGATTTTTTTTAATAGATGCGAATTTTTTTCTAAAGATTTTTCTATAGATTCCACTTTTTTAACAAATTTGACTCTTTTCAGTAGCTCAGATTTTTTTTAATATCTCCAACTTTTTTAAACAGATAAATTTTTTTTTATAAATTCGATTGCTTTTGAAACTCCGATTTTTTTAGTGGCCCCAACTTTTTTTAACAGATGTAATTTTTTTAATAGATTCGATATTTTTAGTAGCTCTGATTTTTTAGTAGCTTTAACTTTTTTTAACAGAAAAAATTCAGAGACTGAATTTTTTTTGTTTAGCACAACGCCATTCAATTAGCAAGGTTTCTTTTAATGATTAGTAGAAAAATTTTATTAGAAAAATTAATTAGAATACTTTTATTAAAAAAAATTCATGATGAAGTGACAACTTCTGCGAGACTCTGAGTGTCGTTCGATCGACTGAGTGATTTTTCGATGATCGATATTTATTTTTAATCAATTCGACCTCATTTTTCCGATTAAATATGATCTTTCCTTGATAACTATGATCATCAATCGATTAACTTTGAACTTTTCTTAGATCTCTTCAATTTTCAAAAATCATTCTCCAGCTGAAAGTTCGAATTGAACGTCTTGACCGACTGACATTTATATTCCAATGACCTACTTCAATTTTTAAATACTTGGATCTGATCTTTTATTATCTATCTATAAAACTTTCTTTAATTAGGCTTTAACTTTCATTAGTTTTAAACTTTCTTTAGTTCTCAACTTCCATTAGTTTTGAACTTTCATTAATTTTAAACTTTCATTAGTTTGGAACTGGCATCAATTTTGAACTTTCATCAATTTTGAAGTTTCTTTAAATTTGAACTCTCATCAATTTTAAAGTTTCTTTAATTTTTTATTTTTAACATTCATCAATTTTTAACTTTTAATTATTTTCAACTTTCATTAGCTTGGAAGTCGCAAAAATTGCTGTTTTAGCTCAAAATCAGTATCGAACATTTCTTCATTAAATCTCAAATTTCATTGAGGCAATCTATAAAATTTAATTTAATCAGTTTGCCTCCATTGATATAGTTTGAACTTTCATAAATAAGATTTGATCCTTCATTAATTCTTTCTTATTAGTTTGTTTCAATTAACATAATTTGATCTTTCATTACTTTTAAGTTTGATTTTAATTTTTAATAACTGATCTTTCAATAATTGATGATATTTAACAGCATCGGGACTTGATTTTGTAATTTTTATAATTTAAAAATTAAAAATCCTCAAAGTAAAATATAATTTAATTCACAGTGAATAAACTTTAACTCATCTAAGAATTTTTGCTAAAAACATTTTGATGCATACTTCCATAATGAATGCATGATTCATAATTAATTTCATAATCACTCATTGTTAGCTAACAAATCTTGATTCTCGGTTAACAAACTTTTGATGCCAACAGAACCAATCTTCTGTTAACTGATTTTCACCTTATCTTTATCATTTTACTTATCAGAACTTGCTTCTCTTATTAGAACTCTCTTCTTTTAGCTGAAATCACCGACTGATTCTGAATCACTAAATCACAAAATTTAGAATCAGATAATTCTAAATTTTCCTTATTTGGTAAGAAGCAACTTTAAAAATTCTGATGCTTCTTTCGAACCATTAATTTGCGAATTGTTAGCAATAAAGTTTAGGAAAATTTATGTAGCAACCTGAGAGCACAAGTTCCTGGTTAATCTATAAATATATTCAAATAAAGTTGAACATTAATCACTTATCGCAACGAATTTTGTCCATCCACTGCAGATATGGACAATGATCCAAATCGAGCACCACCTTGCGATCCAGCTGTTTGCGTTTTGCCCGATTGCTTCTGCTCCGAGGATGGTACAACAATACCTGGCGATCTACCACACAAAGACGTACCCCAAATGATCACCATCACATTCGACGATGCCATTAATAACAACAATATTGGCCTCTACAAGGAAATATTCAACGGCAAACGTCGCAATCCAAACGGTTGTGATATCAAGGCAACATTCTTTGTCTCACACAAATACACCAATTACTCCGCCGTACAGGAAATGCACCGAAAGGGACACGAAATCGCTGTGCATTCCATTTCGTAAGCAATACATTCATTTTTAACACCAAATCTTCTTTTCTTTCAAGAAAATATTTTCTCCAAATAAAATATTTTGTGCAAAGAAAATATTTTTGTACAAAGAGAATATTTTGTACAAAGAAAACATTTTTTTGAAGAAACTGTTTTCTCTAAAGAAACAGAAAAGAAGAAACAAGATTTCATTTCCTTTTTTTGTGATTGTTTAGGCACAATGATGACGAGAGATTCTGGTCGGATGCAACTGTTGATGATTGGGCAAAGGAGATGGCTGGAATGAGGGTGATTATTGAGAAATACGCTAATCTAACCGACAACAGTGTTGTTGGTGTTCGTGCACCGTATCTTCGAGTTGGTGGTAATAATCAATTCACAATGATGGAAGAGCAAGCTTTCTTGTATGACTCCACAATTACTTCGGCGCTCAACAATCCTCCATTGTGGCCATACACCATGTACTTCAGAATGCCTCATCGTTGTCACGGAAATTTGCAACACTGTCCCACCAGGTAAGAGTTTTTTCTAACCAATTCGATAATTCTTTTCGTCACACACATTTTTTCGATTCATAATTCCTAATCTCTTAATTTTTAATCTTTAATCTGCAATTTTTAATATTCTCGTTAAGTTTTTGGAAATAGTTTATGGCTAAAGGTTCCAAAAGCGTTCCAAACGCTATTGGAACCTTTAGCCATAAACTATTTCACAAGAGAGGAAACTATTCACAGAAATGTTGTCTAAAACACCCTTCACAGTTTCCTACTATCAACAGATAACTACAACCAATATCCTTCTTTTCTAATCCAAAAATAAACTTTTTCTTACAGATCCCACGCAGTCTGGGAGATGGTAATGAACGAACTGGACCGAAGAGAAGATCCAGCGAATGATGAATATCTCCCCGGTTGCGCCATGGTCGATTCATGCAGCAACATTCTCACCGGTGATCAATTCTACAATTTCCTAAATCACAACTTTGACAGGCACTACGAACAAAATCGAGCACCATTGGGTCTCTATTTCCACGCCGCCTGGTTAAAGAACAATCCCGAATTTCTCGACGCCTTCCTCTACTGGATCGATGAGATTTCCGCCAATCACAATGACGTCTACTTCGTAACAATGACCCAAGTAATCCAATGGATCCAAAATCCACAAACAGTCACCGAATCAAAGAACTTTGAATCATGGCGTGACAAGTGTGTTGTCGAAGGTCCACCAGCATGTTGGGTACCACACACCTGTAAATTGACATCCAAGGAAGTCCCCGGAGAGACCATTAATCTTCAAACTTGCATTCGCTGTCCCAATAATTATCCATGGATCAATGATCCCACCGGAGACGGTTTCTTCTAATCTCAATAATACCGTTCCTCACTCTTCTAAGTCAGTTTCATTTATTTTCACTTCAAAAAAAAAAAAAAAAAAAAAAGCGAACGAAGCATATTTAGAAAAAAAAAATCAACTTTTTTTGCAATGATCGTCAAAATGTAGCTCTGTCTCCTAAAGTCAATTATGGAGACATACAAATTTTCGTTTTAAATTATATAAATATATTGTAATGTAGAAGTACGATTGAATCGCGAAATGTTTTGTTTTTTTTTTCTAAAAATGTTATCTTCGCCTGACGAAGAGCAGTATTTTTCGCCTTTATAATATGAGGGGAAAGATGCGAGAAGAATCTCTTTATTAGAAAACAATAAAAGAAAAAGAAGAAAAAAAAATAGGAGAGAAAGTGGCGGACTTGTGTGATCCGCAAGTGAGACTCGATGTATGTAATATATAGAACCTCGTTTCCCTTTTTTTTCCAAAAGTGATTAGTCGTTGTTTTTTTTTTTTTTGTTTTTTTTAATATATATATATTATTGATGTATCCTTGTTTCCTTAATCCTTGTCCTATCCTCTCCATTAAATTCCCTTCTCTCTCAGCAAACCGCCAAATCTTCCCGAGGGGCGCCCTTATTTTTCTAAGGGTCGACCAAAAAATATAAATATAAATGTGTATGTATATTTTATATAAAATAAGCGACATCAAATTGTTCTGAAGAGAAAGCGACAGATCTTTAAAATAAAAGACTTTTAAAAATTTATCTTTTTCGTTATTTCTCCATTTTCCATTTCAAGAGAGGGATTATTTTTAAATTTATCTTTACGTTTCGACTGATTTTATTTTTATCATTTTCTATAATTACTTTATTACTATGTGATAAAAATTAGTTATTTACAGAGTAATGAAATTTCTTTTTTACTTTTTACTAGTCAAAACTAGATTTAACTAAAATAAACTATAGAATTTTTATTTAAATAGGTACTAATTGCACATTTAACGAAATGAGAAGGGTTATTGAAGTTAAAACAAATATGGGTATCAAAATAAAATATGATGGCACCAACGACATTCTTAGTTCTTTTAACTACTTTTTGGGTGGTTAATACATTTTTTTAAATTCAGTTGAGGACTTTTTGATTGAACGCTAGCTATTTAAAGTTCACCAAAAGAATTTGCAATGGTCACAAATTAATGCGCTTTTATCTCTCTTTAATTTCTGACGAAGGCAATGAATTTTGGTCGAAAATATTCCGAGTTGAGAATTTTTCAAGAATCACCAAAGAATTCGCAATTGTCACAAAATATAGAGCTTTTAACCCTCTTTAATTTCTGATCCAAGTCAAAGAATTTTTGTCAAAAACATTCCGAGTTATGAATTTTTATTTTTGACCATTTTCAAATTTTTGATTTTCTGATACGGGCGGATGGGTACACTGGCATTATTAAAAGTTGTTCAAAAAAATTCGCAATTATCACAAATTAAAGCACTTTTATCCATCTTTAATTTCTGACAAAGGCAATGCATTTTGGTCAAATACGAAAAACTTTGCAATATGTGATCGAAATAAGTGAAAAATTAAAGTTTTTCGAAGTTTTAGTTAAAAACTTTTGTGTAAATGATAAGTTATTACAATCAGCTTATAGAATGTTCTAAAACACTTCAATTGACTTTACTTTGAACATTTTTTGACCCATTTATAAAAAGATATTGATTTATTTAATTACAAAATTAATTACAAAATAATAGTAAATTCTAGAATTACCAGAACCGCATTAGTCAACATTAGGGCATATTCACGAGAAAAATTAAATTTCTGTCCATGCGTCACGACATTAAAAATAGTATCTTATAAAAAAAATAAATAAATAATAGTATCTTGTATCTTTGATACATTATGCTATAAAATTTAAATTGTCCAATTTCTTATATTTTTTAAAGCATCATTTAGAAAACAAAATTTACTTTTATAATAGTTAGAAAAAAAGATACAGACATTGAATCATATATTGACGTATGGACACAAAATGACCGTTTTTTCATGGAAATGATCATTAGTATTTAGTATTGACAAAAGAACACTGTCTATTTTTAATGAAAAGAAATTAATTAAATTTTTACAATGTCCGGTTTTGACAGTAACATAAGCAAAGTATTTGTGTAGGAGTCTATATAAGGCCCAGTTAATGGGACGCCACAACCAGTCCTTTAAAAACGGTGCCAAAAAATCTGAGGGTCCGTCATCCCTAACATTAAAATTTTTTTTAAATTGTTCTTTTCTTCTTTCAAATATGTCGAAGTTCACGTTGCTACTTCTTCTTGTCTCAGTCGCGTTCACCTTCGCCGGTAAGTAAATAAAACAAAAATACAAAATTTCCAAAAAACACAAATTTTTAAGATGATATTAAGGATGATGTGAGCGAAGATCTTTGTAAGGACTAGAATAGGACTAGAATATCATTAATTACTTATTGCAACGAATTTTGTCCATCTACTTCAGATATGGACAATGATCCAAATCGAGCACCACCTTGCGATCCAGCAGTTTGCGTTTTGCCCGATTGCTTCTGCTCCGAGGCTGGTACAACAATACCAGGCAATCTTCCATCCAATAACATACCCCAAATGATCACTATCACATTCGATGATGCCATTGATAACAACAATATTGACCTCTACAAGGAAATATTCAACGGCAAACGTCGTAATCCAAATGGGTGTGATATCAAGGCAACATTCTTTGTCTCGAACAAATATAGTGATTACTCCGCCATAAAGGAAATGCACAAAAAGGGCCACGAAATTGCAGTGCGCTCCATTTCGTAAGCGACAATACAAGGATTTTTAACTTAATTTTGTTGTCTCTAAAGAATATTTTACTTTCTCTGTAAGATAATAGAAAAGAGGAATCTGCTTTTAATTTTCTAAAATCAGATATTTATTTCTTCCTTTTATTACGAAGAAAGATTTCGACTTTTATGATTGTTTAGGCACAATGATGACGAGACATTATGGTCGGATACAACTGTTGATAACTGGGGAAAAGAAATGGCGGAAATGAGGAAAATTATTGAGAAGTATGCTAATTTACCCGAAAACAGTATTGGTGGTCTACGTGCACCGAATCTTCGAATTGGTGGTAATCATCAATTCAGAATGATGGAGGAGCAGAAGTTCTTCTATGATTCCTCAATTACTTCGACGCTCAACAATCCTCCATTGTGGCCATACACTATGCACTTCAGAATGCCTCATAGTTGTCACGGAGATTTGCAAAACTGTCCCACCGGGTAAGATTTTTTCTCTCAAACCAATAATTCTCTTTGCCAAAGACTACTTTTAAAAGCTGATTTTAAATAAAATGCTAAAGCAACAATTTTTAGCATCAATTGATGCTAAATATAATTTTTAGCATCAATTGATGCTAAGAGCCAGTTTCACCAACTTCCGATTAAAAGTTAATCAATGATTAAAGACAGTTTAAAGGCTTCTGATTGGTTAATTGATGATTTAATCATTGATTAACTTTTAATCGGTGTTGGTGAAATCGGCCCTAAATATTGTTGCTTTAGCATTTCATTTCATTTAGAATAGAAGGCCAATTGATTTCTCTAAAATTCACCTTCTTTTTTTGCAGATCCCATGCAGTGTGGGAGATGGTAATGAACGAACTGGATCCAAGAGAAGATCCATCAAATGATGAATATCTCCCCGGTTGTGGTATGGTCGATTCGTGCAGCAACATTCTCATCGCTGATCAATTCTACAATGTCCTAATTCACAACTTTGATAGGCACTACAATCAAAATAAAGCACCATTGGGTCTTCATTTCCACACCACTTGGTTAAAGAACAATCCCGAATTTTTCGACGCATTCGTCTACTGGGTGGATGAAGTTTTAGAAAATTACAATGACGTCTACTTCGTAACAATGACCCAAGCTATTAAATGGATCCAAAATCCACAAACAGTGAGTGAATCAAAGAGTTTCGAATCATGGCGTGACAAGTGTGTTGTGTAAGGTTCACCAACTTGTTGGGTTTTGTTTTTATTGTCGTTGCCATTTGATAATAATTAGCATTATTCTTTTTCTTCTATTTACTAATTTACTAATTATTATAAACTAATTCACTATATTATTATAAAATAATTTACTACATAAACTAATTAACTATATTAATCTCCGTATTCTTTATTCTTTATTCTAATAAAATTCATTCAACATTGAAATTTTATAAAATTTCAAATTGAAACTGTTTGAAGTTCATTTATGTATGAAAATTGTAAACGCAACTGCTTTGAAATTGAATTAATTTTGAAATACTTAAGTAAAATTATTCATTAAACAATTTATTTATTTTATGATAGTTTTTCAAGATTTAAGTTATTTAAAAAGAAATTTTTGTCAGAAATTAAAAAAATTGGAAGGTTTTGTATTAGAATTCGTGGCAATTTTATAGTTCATGAGTCAAACACAAAAAAGACACAAAAATTCAGAATTTTCTTATGAATTATAAAAATTTAATTTTTTAAGTACTTTTAATAAAAATTAATAACTTTTCCCTAAATTCCCTGTCAGAATATATGATTATTATAATTATAATAATATATTAAAACTATATAGATATTCCAATTCATATTTTATTTTTTAAAAAAATTTGTTTTAAAAATTTTTACGTTCTTTTATTTTGAAAATTGCTAAATTTATTTAAAAATGTGAGGGAGAAGTCAGCCGCGCACGTAAACCTGCGAATTGTTGCTAGTATATTAATTAATTATTATAAGAAATGGATTTTCTTCATTTATCATTTCAAATTCAAAAATTACGTTTTATGGAAAAAAAGAAAACACTTCGTGGAGAAATTTCGCTGTCGTTTGCAATTTAATGAATTGACAGAGCTATATATCTTGTAATGAAAATTGAAAAGATGCAATTTATTGTATTGTGTAATGATATTCATTCTATAGAGGCGATGACAAAATCGTTACTTCTATTGTTCCTTGGGGGGTAATAATAATTATTAAAGCTGTGGCAAGAAGAAGTGAAGCCACAGCATCTCCAACATTGTCTGAACAGTGAGGAATATGAATGAAGGTATTTTGTATTCTCGCGCAACGGCAGAATAAAGCACTCGGAAGGAGCTCAGCTTCCGGTTTGTTAATTAATTGCAAGGTTATTAACATTTGAGATTAAATGCACACAAAATTCTCATCTGTTATTTGAATAATTAAAAACCAAGTTTATAAATAAGAAATTAAAAAACGAGAAAATTATTCTAAAATACTCTTTCTATTATTATTAGTATTTTATTATTATTAATATTATAATTATAATTATCGTCCATTATAAAGGTATATTTGTCACAGAGCCTTTTTTTATTTCTTTTAAAGTCAAATTTTAATAAGACGAATAAAATTTTTATTTGAATCAAACAAAATTTATTTAATAAAAAAAGGTGTTTTGTATTTTTAATTTGACAAAAAGATGTTTTTTTACACATAAATATTTTAATATTCTTAGAATCAAATCCGTCCTTTTTCTTAAAGAATATTTTTCATTAAATCTTATTATAACAAATAAATTACTAAGAAAAATAATAATAAGCAAATATTTCCCTTTGTTTGATTTTATATTCAAAAAGAGTTTTTTTTACTTAAATTACAGAAGTTTTGATGATAAAAACAAGAAGAAGGGAAGAGGTGGGAGGGGGGGGGTCATTGGGGAAAACACGTTTGCATTCTTTTGACTTAGTCGACACTGAAGAATGACTATGGAGACTTTCTTATTCGAATCGAATTATCGACATTCGATACATTGAAAGATTGTCTCCATCTGACCTTTAATGATATACACGCAACAATCTCGTGTCTCTTTAAAGTTAAGTACTCACTGGGTCATCGACGTAGGTATATTATAAGCATGGATTATCAATTTTATTTTCCAAGAATACAAAATTAGTAAATTGTCAATTTTCATTTTTTTTATTATACCTTGAATTCATAAATTAAAATGTTGTATTCTCTTAAAACAAAATTGAAAAAATTAAGCTTTCTGTCCATAAAAATGTAATCACTATAGTATTCGAAAAAAAACTTTCTTTGAATTCTAATGAAAAAGATTTATTTTTTAATTTGGTATTCCAAAATTAGAAATTTTGAAAAAAACTTTCTCCTTTACAGTCGCGTGAACGTGAATTTGATATATAATTCACTAATTTGGAATTATTTTATTATAATTATTATAGTTATTATTGCTATCATTATAATAATTATTTCGTACGCGTGTTTTTATATTTGAATTTTAATATTAGTTTCGAAAAATTATTAATTTTAATTATTATTTAAATTATTATTTAAATTATTATTATTATTATTATTACTAAATGAAATTAAATATATTGAAACAATTGAATTAAATTATTGATACTACTTGTAGTATAAAATACTTTAAAAAAATTAAAAAATACTTTTTTTTAAATGTTTAATTTTTTGCTAACTATCGTAAAAATAGTTAAATTTTCGACAATTATTTGTTTTAGGAGGTAGAGTAAAATTTGCATATTATCATTACATTTTATGTTAAATTCTAAAAGATGGGCAATAAAGTTCCAAAAATTGTCGGGACCAATCATAAGAAGAGTCGTAAAACATAAATTTTCGCATGTTATATCAATGAAAAAGTATGTTTACATGTTCACATTCTATCCAATTAGAGTCGATTTCCTCATTACATTCTCAACTTTTATGATCAAAGTCACGAAACTTGGTAAAAAAAGCGAGAGCTCTGTGCATTATTAATTCTTAAAAATTATTTTTTTTTCAATACTTTTTTCTAAACCACAAGAGAAAAGAATTCCGAATTTATTGCGAGTACAAATTTTTTCAGAGAAGATATCGATAAATTAAAATTTAGTATTTATTATATAATAGATTAATAATAAGGTTTAATATAATATAAATATTAAATAAAAAATAATAAATATTAAAATATCAAATATTAACTATAATTAAATCCCTAAGAAGAATTTTATTACTTTTGAACAATATTTAATTTTTACGAAAAATACTATTACTCTTGAAAATAATTGAATTTTTGCAATAATTTGAAACTTCTACATAATTGAATTTTTTTTCGTGTTTTTAACTAAACATCTAAAAATCCATTATTTTAAATAATTTTTGAAAAAGTTCTTTAAGAATTTTCAAATTCATTTGTTTACAATTCAATTTTACAAAATTTCAATTATTCGTAAATTCTTCAATTAAATATATATATTAGAAAATAAAAACTTTAAATAACTTAAAAAAAATCTTCAATATTAAAGTTTCTCAAAAAAAATTAATTCTACAAAATTGTCAGTTAAAAGTATGAAAAATTCAAATTTTCAAAGATTTTAATCTGAAACTTTTTCAAAATCTAAAATTTTAACTGAAATTCATTATTAAATCAATTTTTGTTAAAAAATTCTACGAAAATTCAATTATTTAAAAATAAAAATAAATAATTTATTTAATAACTGAAAGTTTCTTAAAATTTAATCCCCATAAAGAATTTTATCAAAAAATTTTTAAAAAATGAAAGTCTTTCGATGAATTTTAATAATATTTTTAAGAATAATTTTTCAAAAACAATTAAATTCTTGTGAAAAATTCCCAGAAATTCAATTATTTTTAAAAAATTTTAAATATAATTCTTGGCATACATTAAAAATAACAAAATTCTTTGCGGATCTTCAATTATTTCTTTCAGAAATTTTAATAAATTTTTTCTCAAGAATTTTAATATTTACGTTAAATAATCAAAATCTTTTCAGAAATTCAAATATTTTCGAAAATCTTAATAAAATTCTTCCCAAGAATTAAATTATTTTCAAAAATATTAAAATTTTAGCAGAAATTCAAATATTTTTTGAAAATTTTAATAAAATTCTTCCCAAGAATTCAATTAATTTCAAAAATATCAAAATTTTAGCAGAAATTCAAATATTTTTGAAAATTTTAATAAAATTCTTCCCAAGAATTATTTTCAAAAATATCAAAATTTTAGCAGAAATCCAAATATTTTTTAAAAGTTTTGATAAAACTTTTTTGGTAGAAAAACAATTATTTTTAATACAATTTTTAAAATAATATCTCAATAATATTTAATTATTTATAAAATTTTAATGAAATTCTTCGAAATAATTGAATTCCTAAAAAGAATTTTATTATTTACGAAATTAATTGAATTCCAGTAAAGATATTATTATTTATGAAAATAATTGAATGATTGCGAAGAAATTTATAAAAATATTTGTAGATAATAAAATTTATGTGAAATTTTTATTATTTTTTGAACATATTGAAAAGTTTGCCAAGAATTGTATTAAATTTTTTGAAAATAATTGAATTTCGGAGAAGAATTGAATTATTTCTAAAGATAATTGAAATTTTGATGAGAATTTAAAAAAAATTTTAAACATAATTGAATTTCTGCGAAGAATTTTATTACTTTTGAAAATAATTGAATTTCTGCAATCATATGTAAATTTTTTAAAATTATCCAAATAAAATTGTACAATTTACGAACTTTTCATTCTTTTTGAATCAAATTACGAACTTTATGGACCTTTTTTAAAAAAACGGACTTTTACGGACTGCAAGTAAAGTTACGGACTTTTACAAAATTTACAAACCTAGTTCGAGCACTGGAACTGCCACCTGACGGTGACCTTGGCGTTCGCAGGTGGAGAGTAATATAGAAATGTTTTTTTTAAATAAATATAAATATAAAAGAAAGAAAATAATTTGCAAAATTACTCTAAATAGTACATTCTATACAAATTCTAAAAGTAAAATAGAAATACTAAAAATATTTCCCACATTTTCATAAAGTGAAATATATAGGAATGAAGCATAAAAATTCCAGTTGAAAAGAGTATTTTGAAAAGTTGTGGTGAATTTGTGGAATTCATCATTTTTCTATTATATACGTAAAGATATATGGTGGGTTTTTCTGTTGAATTCGAGGTGCATCCTTAGAATTGTGCGTAGGATAAAATTCCTTGACTACCTTCGCGAAATTTTTTTTTCGTTTCCCTTT